CTATTGCACTTGATTAATCAAATTTTCAAAGTATATTGATTTATTGATTAAATTGTAAAATTGATTAAATATACTATTTCACTAATTGACATCCCCATCTTGCTGACATTAAGATCTTAACGTATCCTTCTGTACATTTTTAATACCTCTTCTGTTGAAAAAGGCTGTGCATGATAAAGCGCTGCATACTAGTTTTGACCCAAATCCTTTAGCTAGTTTTGACCCAACTCACCAAGGGGAACTCTCGAACCTTGGAAGCCAAGATGATGGCTAACAAGGTTCTTTCTGCCATTCTCCATTCACCCAACAAACAACTATACAGTTTCTGAATATGCTCTGCATCACCTTCAAAGAGATGTATAAGTTCTAAGATATGATCGAAAGTATCTTCTCATTCCGGTTTAAAAGCCATCAGTGGAGCCATCAAGGGGTATCTTACTCTATTTCTTTCTAAAAGTAATCGTTTATCTTCTATTGTTGTCAATTTCATCTTACTCGTCCTAAATGATTCTAGTCAGTTAGAATTGCTGTGGTGTAAGGAGAAAAAAACCTGCAAAGGAGTTTCTCTTTTTTGTGTCTGAAGAACACAAAAACCTGCTCTTCTGTTACTACAAGAAACTCATGCTGATGCTGAACAATCTTTAAAAGCTATCAAAAGATTTCGGCTGAAGGCGCCTCAGGTGGAATTATACTTTCTTGGTCAGTTAATTTTGTATATGTCTATTCATGCAGTATTTCAATTGCATAATGACATGCCTTGGCTTTTAACTAACTGGTAAATTTATGCTTGTACATCTATTTTACAAGACTTTTGAATTAGAAGACTTTTGAAAATGACATGCCTAGGCTTTAAACATCTAATTCAATTAACGAATTAAATGATTTAAGGAGCTATAAACGCTCTATTTTATGCTTTGAACAAAAATAAGTCTAATCGTATTTCTTTATACGGAACTAGGAGATTTGGCACATAATAGAAGTAACTCATGATTGCATGAATAGAGTTAGAGAATCTAAAATAAATCTTTTGAAGCATGATTTTAAATTATTTCGAATGAAACCAAGCGAGACCATTGAAGATATGTACACCCATTTTACGGATGTCGTCAATAGTCTAAAAGTACTTGGTAAAAGTTTTTCTAAATTTAAACTTATTAACAAGATATTAAGATCACTTCCTAAAAGTTGAGATCCTAAAGTAATGGCAATACAAGAAGCAAAGAACTTAAATAATTTTTCACTTGAAGAACTTATTGGGTCTTTGATGACCTATGAAATAACATATATGGCAAATGATGAACTTGAGAACAACCTTCCAGAGAACAGAAAAGACTTCACATTTAGAACAAAAGAATACCACTCGAGCGAAAGCTCAAGTGATGATGACATAGAACTCCTCACAAGTAAATTTAAAAAATTCATAAAACATGAAACTAAAAAACAAAAATAAACTTCAAAAGAAGAAGCTACCAAAGAAGAAGAAAGCACTCAAGGCGACTTGGGACAAATCGAGTACATCCAAAGATGAGGAGCAAACCATCAAAGGCGAGGTGGCGAACTACGACTTAATGGTTTTCGACGATGAGGTAAATGACTGAATCGAATCTCACTTATCTTACAATGAATTGCTTGATGCTTTCCATAATTTATTTGATTAATGTAAGCTATTTGGTAAAAAATATAAGTTATTAAAATAGGATCATGCTTCTCTTACTAGTGAATTTAAAAAATTAAAAAATGAACATGATAATTGCATGTTAACTCCTTGCACTAAGTGTGAAGAGTTAGACTTACTTAAAAAGAAAATTTTATTTTTACAACAAATATTAAATAAATTTAAAATTGGTAGCAAATCTTTGAACATGATTCTTGTCGATAAGAGTCATGTTCGTAGAAAAGAAGAAATCGACATTATGAGTAACACTCAGCAAAAACCAACCACTTTTGTTAAAGGACCTACATTACATGTTTCTCATAAAAACAAATGTAATTTTTATGGTAAACATGATAATTTTGCATATAAATGTCCATTCAAAAAGTATAGCTCACATGGTTTGGGTTCCTAAATAAACCATGAATGACTTAATGCCAAAAGCTAAAAAATAAACTTTGGGATCATTTATCTGCTTTGATATATCTTGGTGTATTATGAGAGACTTTAATTGTATTTTAAATTCTGCTGATGAATTGGTGGTAAACATTTTTGTATTAATGCTTCAACGTGTGCTTTTAGAGATTTTGTGAAGAACTATAATTTTACTGATTTAGATTTTTTTCTTATCCTAATTATGTATGGTGCAATAATAGAATTGGTACTGCTAGAATGTTTGCTCAATTAGATTGGAATTTGGCAATAATTTATGGATCAACTCTTATGGTAATTCTTCTGTTTATCATCTCTTGCGATTGTGCTCAAATCACTCTCCTCTCAAAATCCATCTTAAAAGTCACAAACTGTAGCTGAAGTAATTTATTTAGATTCATTACCCTGAGACTAATGATTTAGTCTCTTCTATTGGGAATAACTCTTCTAATAATTGTGAGCTTTTTTTCTTATTTTCACTCAAATTCATGTAAAGCTTGTCGAGTTTTCTCTCACCGGAAGAGAAACAATCTTGGTATTTTAGAAACCAAGTTAGAAAATGTTCAAAACAAAAGACTTGATTTTGAATCTACCTCCATTCATTTGTAGTTGTCCTCACTTTATAATCTTCAAATGGCCTTAATTAAGTAATTAAATCGCTTACATTCCTCCCTCCATGACTCATCTAACAAACATTTATTCCTAAAAATAAGAATCCTACTCTAATAAATTATTTTCAGCCAATCGCCTTATCTGATGTAAATTATAGAATCATTGCTAAGGTTGTTGCAAATTGCTTGAAACTTTACTCAACACTATTATCACTATTTATTGTAAGGGTAAAAATCTTATTATTATAATTAAAATTAATTTAGAAAAGGCTTTTGACATACATTTTATTGGGAAGCTATTTTGAAAACTCTTTCAATTATGAGTTATTTTTCCCTATAAATACATTACTTGGACTCAAAATTGTTTTCGATCCCTTAATTTTTCTTGCTTGATAAATGGAGAAAAAGTTATTCTATTTTTCATAATAGAAGTGGGGTTACACAAAGAGACTCATTAGTATATTATAGTGACTCAGATTTTAACTCTTAACATATAAATGAAGTTGCAAGAAATTAAAGCCTTACTCCTCTTAATTTTGCACCTAATTGCAAACTTAGTCATATTATGCTTGCTGATGATGATTTTTTTTTTTATATATTTTAAGCAAACAATAAATCCTGTAATACTATGAAAAAAAAATTAAAAGTATGAATCTCTAATAAATCAACATATCAATGCTTCTCCAAATCTATTTCTAGATCTAATCAAACTATCTATCTACTCTTTGCTAGGCTTCCAAAGAGTGCTCTTTCCCCTTCAAGAATTCCTTTTTGAGTGCTCATGATGACATTCTAATAAGAATGATTAGATCCGAACTGGTAATTTGGCAGACCAAGCATTTATTTAAAGTTAGTCATTTAACTAACTTTAATTAAATGAGTTTTTACCTCTATACCTATTCATACATTATTAAGTGTTTGTTACCTGGATTTAGGATTACATCATTAAAAAAAATCGAAACCTTAAATCAAAAAAAAAAATTTTGACATAATAACTCAAATTCCAAAGGTTTACATTTGATTAAATGGCACACCAATCACTTCAAATAGGGATGATGTTGGTAGGTCTTAATGTACAATGATATAGCAGCTTTAAACACACTTTGAAAGCCTTCAGAATCCTTAGATATGATTTAAGGATGATGGTTGTCTATGGTCGTCCAGTGTCATTCATGTACATTGCTAAATTAGCATGATTTCATAAATCTAGTTGGAGATGGAAAGCTTTTCAGACAATCAATGTTTACATACATTACATTATTAAAGGAAGGATTTTTCAAACAAATAAAAATTTATTCAAATAATCTTTTTCTTGGCTTTTTAATATATCTTTCTAATTCAAACCTGCATATATATTAATTAATTAACAATATAACTTGGTTGATAGTTGGAATAATCAATTGCTATTAGAGATGGTTGATGTCATAAAAGTGGTAAGAGATTGCAAAGTATCCTAGTGATAGATAAATAATACCTGGATGGATATTGGAAGGATCACCCCTTATGGGAGGTGCATTTTATTCATCTAAAGAACTAGAACCCAACATACAGATACTACACAATGTTGGTATGATTGGCTAAACCTTCCCCTTATTTCCAGAATTCTATCTCTTCTGTTGGAAACTTTCTCACAAAAAAAGACTAACTAGTCATTTTAGGATAACCTTTCATCCTATCTGTCCTTTATGCAACAGTGAGCTTCAACCAATTAAAGGATTGGTGACAAAACTACCATCTGCAATACTGTGTTTAAGTTACAAATTCAGACAGACTCCATCACATCACATCACATCACATCACAGTCGCAAACCTCTGCTCAAATCAAATGAACAACCTCTATGTGGCAAATCCAAGCATTTTATTGCTGGCACCAAACATCGACTATAAAGAAGGGCTACCACAAAATCCAGATCTGATAAGCTATCAGTTGTATGGGAAAACTAATTTCCTCATGTCAAATCTTAATTGATATTTTTTTGAGAAAAAAAAATTCAGTGAGAATACTGTTCCATGTAATAATATAATAGCACTCAGGTAGATCAAGTTTAGGGATGACAGTACCCACAAATTTCACTTGATTATATATCTAAAGACTCAATTCGAAGTGTCTTAACTCGAGACTGGCTATCTTTATTACTAACCAATTACTGCAGAAACATGGCAACTTTATTTGGATATATAACTACTATTCAATCAGTCTACACCATCTGCTACATTGCTACACAAAATTCCAAATGGTGGTGCTTATCATTCCAAAGAATATGGCCACGAACATGGAATGAAAACCAGGAGTGAACAAAACACCATCAGAAAGAATGCACATTCATCCATAATTAGAACTAACAATGTAGAGTATAATCGTACAAGACAAGGTACATTCCATTTGTCCTCTCATGTGACAAATGAATAAATGATTCTTAATTCCAAGGTGAAAAGAATGGTACAGGCTGGAGCTTGGGACTCAAAACTCCAAAAAATCAGATGATTTGCTAAGCATGAACCACAATTACCTAAGACAAACATAGAAATGTAACAGGGCAAAGAAAACAAACAAACAAACCGCTGCTTATTATACAAGGACCTGCCTACGAGAGAAGCTGCACACTAGGAACTCCCATGGGATCTAACTGATGATATGGACTGAGCTGAGATAGATGCAGTTGGGCTGTTAGAGTCTCTCTCTCCGTTACCAAATCTTGCTTTCCCACTAATCCTACTAATGGTCTCTTGAGCAACATCAAAGAACCAATCATCACTTGGGAGAACACTGCATCAAGCACAGATGATAGTTTGAAACATCGTTAGTCTCATAAGGAGAAATAGGGAACCATTGCCAACTTTCTGAAATAATATATTCAATAGGACTAAAAGAAATTCATCAGAATAAGAGGCTATTACCACATCAAACTGATATACACCAATCTGTATGGTGAATATCTAAATCTAAGTTGCAGAAGCACAACTCTGGTGCTACATACTACAAGAACAAATTAAGCAGCAAAAATCTCTTACGAACATGTGATTCTTTTCGAGGCAAAAAATCTTAAGAGATTAAAATAAAAAGTCATTTATTGAATGCATGATGCTGATGAACATGTCAGCACCCCTGGTACCATGAAGACAAGAAATTGTTGCTGTTAAAAGAGAAAAGGGAATCGACAGATAGGGAGCGAGAGTCTTGCGAGCGAGAGAGTCTTGCGATCGCAATGTATAAGTAAAAACATTCCCCATCCACTCCAATTCCTTTATTTTTCTTCCCCAAACCATAGTTCTGTCCGGATCAAACTGTTTCCGGATCATGTTACAAAACGTTACTTACAATAGTTCTCAGGAAATATAAACAATAGCCTTAGATACCATCAAGAAAATAAAGAGTGCATCATATACATGTCCTTCTTCAACTAAACAAAATATGAGCAATAGAAAATCACTTAAAGATGTCAATCTAAACAAACAATTTTACGTAGTCTGAATACTCTTGTTACTTAACACAATTTTGCATGTCTTGATATCTACTATTAATTAGTGCAGGATACTTTGTTGGATTTCCTCTGGAGAAGAATTGGCTAGCTAGCAGATACTCATAGGAACATGCTAGTCAACGTGCCACTGACAAGGTACAGCCGTGCAATTTATTCCCACAAGTGCCGAGCCAGCACAATAGTAAAAAGATGACAAATGCAGTCTGATTAAACCCAAAACTATTATTGACTTCATCTGAACTCCAACGATGACTACGGAGTGCAATTAATTTGGTTAGCTCCAGCTTCAAATAATCAACTGATTAAAATATGACCAAGAAAGCAGAAGTACATGAAACAAACACTAGAAATTTGATTGTTCAAAAAATTGTTTCTCAATAGACCCAAACATGCATTCAACGTGGACGAATCATCAATTATGTGACGCTTCTAAAATCATCAATTACTTGAAGCTTCTAAAATCAAACAGTTGAAGATATTATTTAGGTTGAGTTCAGTTAAGCTAGTTGTAGATGTATTATGTCAAGAATGAGATATATTGGTGTCAGATCATTTTTACATATATTAGAAAGTTTTAAAACTGAAGATATTATTTAGCTTGAGTTCAATCAGGCTAATTGTAGACGTATTATGTCAAGCAAGGTATGCAATACCGTAGTACTGTACCGATGTTTCGAGGTTGGCTCGGTATGGTACGGTACCGTGCACCGAGCGATACGCCAGAGCGTACCGAGCGGTACACCTAATTTAGGTGTAAAAACATCCGAAAATATCTGAAAATAAAAAAAAATTAGGATAGGGTTTTTAAGTTAGAAATAAATATAGTAATACCATAAGTTTAGCAAAATCAATGTAAATTATGTAAAAATAGTATCACATATTTTTTTCGGGCTTTGAAAAACATCTTGTGTAAGGTTCGTATTTCAGTCCATTACGAATTGTCCTTATGTAAACATACCTCTTGATTAGAAAGTTCTTCCTCTTAATCTTCCCAAATTAACCTTGATTCAATTCACAAATCGTTGTTTTGTAGAGTTTATGAGAGCACAAATATGAGAAAAAAAGAGTTTGAGATAATTTAAGAGAGTATGAAAATGTAATAGAGTGAAATAGGGGAGAAAAAGGGGTTTAAATACTATAAGAAAGGGCTCCAACAATCAATTTAGTCGTTGGAGCACTGTATCACTGTTACCGAGCGGTTTTAAATATTTCTTCATCTTACTGTGGCACACTAGTAGTGCTACAGTGTAGCACTGTAGCATTGTAGCACGTTCCGTCCAGTAGCGGGTGGTCCACGTACCGGTATGTCGTCAGACCAGTACGTACCGCCCGTACTGGGCGGTACCATTCGAAATCGCATACCATGATGTCAAGAATGAGATATATTGGTGTCTGTTCATTTTTGCATATTTTAGAAAATTTTACATTGAGTTATAATAATTAAATTTGTTTTTATTTCTAGGAGTCAAAGGAAATTAAACAAGAGCACTAACCGACTGGCTATAATCCACAATGGCCTACATGGCAGCCATTTGATCTGAGCTAAAAGGAAAGGAATCAAATACTAGTCAGATAGGCACATACCATCGGATTGACCAGTCCAACCAAGGACCAATCACGGACTAGTACCAACAATTTTTTTTATGATATCGTACCAGTCTGACCCCAATATTAAGCAGGTATTTAAATCCTTGTTGAGCTTGCCTCGTGAGAAAGATGTCATTAAACTTTAATAGGCTCAATACATGCTTATTTATCAACTAAAGAATCCCTGTTATTTTAGGTGTGGTGTAGATCCACACAGTGATTTAAAAAGGCGCTCGGGCAAGGCGAGGCGAGGCGAGGCCCGAGCGCCTCGCTTCACTTCTAGGCAGCGTGCTTCAAAGAGGTGAGCGTTCCAGGCAGCGCGCTTCAAAGAGGCGCCGCCTGGACGCTCGCCCTAGCCCAGGCGCTTCGGGCGAGCACCTGGGTTAAACCAGGCGACCGAACCAGGATTTTAGGTCTGGTTCGGTCTTGGTGCTTTAGTTGGTTCAATCGAACCAATTAAAACCAATATCAGCTATCGCTGCCCAACCCTAACCCTCCCGCTACCGCTCCCGTTGCTCGTCGCTGCTCGCTACCGCTGCCGCTATCGCCGCTCCTACTCCCGCTCCCGCTGCTCGCTGCTCGCTACTCCTGCCGTTGTCGCCGCTCCCGTTGCCGCTGCCTCCTTACACTCCCGCTGCCGCTGTCGCTTCCTCTTTTCTTAGTCAGCACCCCCTTACACTCCTCTTCCTTCTTCTCCTTCTGTATACTGTTAACAGTATACTAATAATAGTATTTATATTTATTAGATCAATAATATATTATTTTGATTTTGTATCTTAGATTTTCTTAATTTAATAGCATATTTTTATTTAAAATTTTAAATAATTATATTTATTAATTATATTATATATTTTTATATTTTAGCGTCTCGCTTCGCTCGGGCGAGCGCCTAGCGCCTCAGGCGTTTTTGGACCTTGACGCCTTTTGGCGCCTAGCGCTTTTTAAATCACTGGATCCACATTTAATAGGGTAATGACTTGCCTTGTTAAATTAGGTGAGATGGAGATCCACATTTAGTAGGGTGATTTACCTTCGAAAAGGTGTTTCAACAAGCAATTTGTGGCCACATATGTGGTCATATGATTGCACTAAATGAGGTATATGGTGCCTCAACGTATAGTACAACCGCGTATGTTCTTACACTACATATAGGATGCAACTTCGGTGTCCAAGCCTGCCAGAGTTGGCAAATGTGTATTTTGGACTAATTTAGGATTAAGATTTCCCTACATGACTTAATTTTGGGGCTGGAACCCAAACCTGACTTGAGCCCCACCCAGCCCAATTCAACACAATTAAATTCCTTGTTATCTTGTATCCATCAAAGTAACATTTCAATTGAGACATTTTAATGTTTAACCTGGACAACCTGCATGTGCCCAAATAATGCATAGCAATTTGAAGTTCATTCAGATTTGATAAAAATGTACTATCCTATACATCTAGAACATAACAACACATCTAATGTTTAACCTAGAACCAAAATAGTGCTACAATCAGAAGGTTTATTAAGTATAAGATAAAATTTATTCTCGTTCAAAACCCTTCTTGAGAGATGAATAGAGGTTAACAAGTAAAAATATGATATTGATGCCAAACTTTACAACATGAGTTATAGCAAAAAAAGAAAAATAATGAAGGTCGAAACCAAGAAATGTTGTGTCACATACTGGACCTATATGGATCCCTGGCCAGACCGGTATGTACCAATCAGTACTGGTGTATCGACCCATGGTACGCCGCTATGTACTAGTATTTTGAAGATGAAGAAGAAGGAGAAGATGTAGTGGAGGAAGAGGAGAATGGAGAAAGAAAAAGGAGGAAGGCAGAAGTGGCAGTGGAAGGAACAAGAGGAAATGATGGACGAAGGTCAATGAACTAGATACCTATTGGTGGTGATAGAATGGGACTTTAGTTTCTACTTGTTTTTGTCCCATATTGGTAAAGCATCTGTCTGTTCTATGGCAATATGCCCATAAAGTGGTCCATGAGAAGGTCAATGTACAACAACAAATAACTGACATGATCCTTTCCAAACTACACAAGTCTTCCAAATAAATGGTTATCTCAGGGAACTTAATGGCCATTTAGAAAACTGTAATTGCTGATCAAATATCAGAATCAAGTTTGAAATTTCTCAATTCACTGTTTCTCAGGAGTTTGGTTGTCCAGATTGTAACCCATCAATTCAAATGGGAAAAGGCAACACTTTAGCATATCAAAGTCATTCAACTAGATAGAAGCTCCTCTCAATGTAGGCATGGTAGTCGCAACTAGTAAGAACAATAAAGGAATGCCTTCTATTCTTGCTGGATGTTCAGTATACAGTTAGATGACAGAAAGAATGGATGTTCTTCAGTAAATGAAGAATACACAAATGCCAACTCAAAGAAAAAGTCCAAGAAAAAAAGGCTAGAATCCGTCCAGAAGAACAGATGAAAATATAGCTAGAAGTATCAGTTACTGGCACCAAGTACTTAATAATGATAAAGTTGAGCACAAAACACAAGAAAAAAATTATTTTAATGGAGTTATAGTGACTTCAGTAAGTTACCTGTCTGGATTCATTCCAGTTGCAGAAAATGCAGCCATAGCTCTTTCAATAATGTCTACAATAACTTGATGCACATGACGAGACAAGAATCGGCCTTGGCCATAAAGGATCACAAACTGCATATCCAGGTAAAACTGCAGAAATGAAAAGAACAAGCAACATTAAAAGCTAAAGGAGAAAAATAATTTCTGGTTTTCCAGGGTGGTATTATTATAAAATATGACAAAATACAAAATTACACCTGCTGTAGACCAAAGGGACCCAAAGGTCTTTGTCCCTCTTCAATATCCTCCCAAAAGCTCTGGTCTTCTGAAAGCCATAGTATGACTGTTTCTGTGAGTCTCATCATTAGCAATGTAGCAAATCTTTCCCTACCAACAAATATATCTGACGCTATGCTTGCCATTCTATTCAATTTCGCATATAATTCCTATGAAAAAAAACAGTTGTCAGAAGGTGTTTGATTGTTTTTGGAAAAGAAACATCTATGAAAATATGCAGAAACTACTAAAATACCATTATGCAACAAGATTATTAACCAAAGTTTTAAAGAAAGCTTATTTTATTTGTGGTGCAGAGGATAGGTAAATTGCTTTCAAGATTTGAACCAAGGATTTTAATTTCGAATAATACCGCCCATACCGGATGGTACGTACCGGTCCGCCAGCAAATCGGTACGTGAACCGCCTACTACCAAGTGACATGGTTCTCAATTTCGATGTGTACCACCCGGTACAGGTGGTACATATCGATCCGAGAGGATACCAGTACGCGGATCATCCTCTACCGGGCAATACTAGTGTTTTGACTGGTACCAAGGCATACCAACCGGTACCACCCCGGATTTCAACCGTTACCGAGGCAAACCGATCGATACGCTCTGGCATGGTAGGTGAAGGTATCTTTAAGATTCTAGGATGTACCATTGATACACCTTAGCGTATCGACAGTATATACCGGTACATGCCATACCGAGCAGAGCTCGGTGCGCCGATACAAACCGATATTCAAAACCCTACCAGGCGATACCATCGATTGGGATTGCTTCTGCCCCATTACCACCCTAAATCGATCGATGACGGTCGACTTCAACCGTCACCGCCCGCTAACAGGTGGTATTAGTAGAGGGAGAAGAAAGAAGAGAGGGAAGAAGAGGGAGAACCTGAAGATCCGACACCGCTCTCCCTCGACGATCCCAATCCGTCGCCGCCCTCCCTTGCTGGACGCCGTAGATGAGATGTCGCGTCCTCCTCGTCTGAGGCAACGAAGCCTCGGCGTCATCGACAACTTCTCCTCATCCGCGTGGGGAGAAGAAGCCTCAGCGACATTGTGGGGAGAAGAAACAAAGAGTAGCGACGAGACATCACCCTTTTTTGTGCGGGGAGAAGGAAACCTCAGTTTCTTCTCACGCGGGCAAAAAAAGACACCTTTTTTTTTACTTACACACACACACACCGAGCGATACACCCTGATGTACCACTCGATACTCTATACCGTACTGTACCGAGCTACGCTAGAAACTTCGATATGATATAAAATTACGATCCTTGCTTTAAACATTATGACTAACCTTCACAATCTTGAATTGCTATTAGAAACAAAAAAAAAAATCATACTGGATAGTGATAAATGAAAATCATACTTGGTGGGTAAAGGCTCTATAGAACATGATGAGTATTTTAAATTATGAATCTTCAGAAACTCAAAGATTGCTCTTCAACCTAACTTAAAAATCACAAACTTCAGAAACATCAATGAGTTGTTTAAGGCAACTGATAAATTGGCAATTATGGATCCTAGTAGAATAAAAATGTTTAAGATCCTATCAACTATAGAATTAGTCTAGGTGAATATTAAAGCTAGAAGAATTTTTCACATTCTCCTTCAGGAACCGATATTTTCCATGATGCCTCAGGTTTGCAAATATCATAAATATTCCTCTGAACCCAGTAAATGATAATGCATACCCTTAAAGGTTAGAAGTAATGGTGCAAAATACTTCTGTTGTTATCTAAAAATTTCACATGGTGCCCTTAAAAACACTCAATCTTGTCAGCGGAGATTTCTTGGAAGACTAGGCTAGCTACTGGTTGGTAAAGATGCCTTAGGTCACCTATGGCCCTATACATTGCTTGCCTGGAACAGTGTATAAGACATATACATGTGTATGGAACTGTTCATATTTGCATGAATAGATATATTTTATATAGTGGTTGCTATTCTGCAACCTGGATGAACACAAATTATGGCTGGGAAAATCCACTGCACACCGACCCTTTCCAGAGACTTCTTGGGAGGGCCTCATGCACCTGGTCACCATTTTTTATTACATATATGCAAAAAAATGGTATTGTTCTATGCAAAGACTACCATACCACCTGAAACAGCACGAAACAAGAGCTTCGTTTCAGGCGGAATGCACAAAGAGGGGGGCATACCGCTCTGTCACGGACTTAGCTGGTTTTGTCTAAGTCGTGCGGCACCCTTGCGTGTCCGTCCGCAAAGGTCAGCCTCCCCGAAGCCTCCCATGGTCCCTTATGACCCACAAAAAAGAAAACGGGTTAGAGAAAATGCCTCACTCGGGATCCACAAGCAAACATTCTAGGAAACACTTCATAAACAATGCAAATTACAAACAGACTTTACAAGCTCTGAACAGTTGCACAACAAAGGGTCAAAATGGTCCACTACAGACAGAAAATCTCTCATAAGTGTCCACATGACATAACCTTTATTTACAAGCCTAAAGCGGCCACCAAACCCAACTAAAATAGGACCATTAAGCCTTCGGCCATCCATCTACATGTTGTGCAAAGCATGAACATACCAACAGACACGGACATACATAAGCATTACATCAAACATTCTGTTTCGAAGTTTGTCCGTGACAGCTCGATACACAGGAAGAAGGTGCAGAATGATCGAAACTCAATCGCTACCAACCTGTAATGGTTGGATTTCAACCGTACAAGTTCAATCTTGGTTCTCCCTTTTAGAACCCCCTCCCTCCCCCTCTTTCACTCTCCCTCACTCACACTCTTTCTCCCTCTCTTTCTCAGTCATTTACCAAGTGAGTAAGAGAAGGCATATGGAACTAGATGTTACAAAGGAAATATTATCTCTGAAGCCTCTGAATTGGGATTCCACGTAAGGCATACAAGGTTTTTCTTGCAAAAGTTCTATATCATAAGTACCCTTGTACGAAATATTATATATGATGTTCTTAGTAGCCAATACATAGGCATAAAGAAAAGAGAAGGCATATAGAACTAGATGTTACAAAAGGGAATAGCTTGATATATCTACATCTCAATAATATTTAATAAGCAAGAAAATCCAACTATTTGGGGTCACTACATGGTTGGAACTTCTAAGGTCACTACTAGTCAAACCAAGAACATCAAGTTCTTTCTATTGTTTCTTGCAAAACTTCTCCATTTTTCCTCTACTTCTCGTTGCAACACTAATTTAAATTGGCTCAACATACCTGACCAGTGCATATACAAGTCTCCTTTGGTGAAGTCCATGTTATTTTAAGATATTTCCATCATCTTTTCCATGATCAATACTACCTCCAAATGTTTATGGATGAAAACATTTCTTATCTTTTTTTCTATATTAAGTCCAAGCATCCACCTCAACATTCCAATCTTAGTGACTAACATTTTAATCACATTATTTTGTAATTACACACCATTCAAATTTAAATGCAATTATTATAACTGTCTTAAAAATTTTACTTTTAATTTATGAGGAACGGAATACAACAACCATAATATGCTTTAAATGATTGTCCCCAATTGAACCATATCTACAGCTTAGGTGAACTAGTTTCATCAATAACTAATCAATTTTATCAAAGATGGATCATTAGGAAATTATATTCCAAACAAAAAATAATGAAATTAAGTTCCAAAGTAAATAAATACAACAAAAGGTAGATCCTTCTGTTACAGGCTTCCCCAACTACAGCTTATAAATTATAGATATAAATCTATCTTTCCTTCTCGCTAAAACCATAGTAATAAGTAGCATGATGACAAAATAAGCTACATGTAACTTCTTAAGAGATGTCATCGCCTAATTCCATTCTAAAGGGGTCTAACCAACTTTTCTAATTGTTTTACTTCTTCACTTTTCTTTGTATACACTTCAATATATGTCATGATCATAATTTTCTTCAGCAAGTCAAAAGACTGCAAATCTTTTAGGGAAATTCTTAAAATCTGAAACTGTTCCAGTAAATAGAGTAACATCCGTGTGTGTTGTGAAGGCATGGCTACTAGTCATAAATCAAATTACTTTCTGCAATGCATAGTAATGGAGGTAATGTTTTTATTCCATAATTAAAGTAATTAAATGAAACGATACTTGAAGTTACCAGTTGAAATGGTTACCAAATGCAGTATGGAACGGAATTGTTTGATAGACTAAAGAGAAATAAATGAGAGGATCCTATTTCCGCAAGTAGGATTCATCGTTAGCAGGTTTTACAATAAAAAAAATTGGAGCCAAAGGTTGACACTGAAAATGGGTGAAGGTTTCCCATGATAATGAATGTTTAAACATCTACACACTAGAAATACCTGAAATATTGGAGAAGGAGTCCATTCTTGCTCTTCAGAATTCATATCCATATTTAGATACATATCTGCACCTAGATTAGTATCACCATCTTCTGTGAATATAAGATCAAGAGCATGCTGCCTACAAAAACTATCACGTAACCTATCAACAGATCGCTGCAGTTTCTTTTTCCATTCTCTTTGTTCTGGCATACGAGTGTTTCTCTCCAACCCTCGTTTACGAGGATCTTCCATGACACCAGACTGATACAATGGAGAAAGCTTCATGACTGCTCGAGGAAGCAAATCTTCTGCCAACAGAGATGCATTTGCTAATAAAGCCAATTGTTGTGTTTCAGTCTCTGCTATTCGAACAAGTTTACTCACAGGACCATCCAAATTTGTCTCCTCCTCCATTGAACTTGGCAATGCATTAATCAGCAAACTGATATATGAGTTGAAGACCTTTAAAAGACCATCCATGGAGGAACCCCCTAACTGCATGCTCAAAAGTGGTCCCACATCCTCAAAAAAATCCTGCAAAGCCATTCAAAATGTCATATGACAAGATGAACATAGATACAAGAATTCTCTTCATGTAAATCACAAATATGATAGCAAATTGGGACCATTCGTACGGCATTCTAGCATTATGGTATTCTTCAATCATCAAATTGTCCATTCATATGAGTAAGTCACAACATCACATGCATCATCCTTTTAACTCAATCATAACCATAAATTTTGAATAATTATTTCATAGGATTGCATGCATCATCCTTTTAACTCAATCATCATCACACATGCAAAATAAATGTAATGTTCTCAGCTGTCTTGATATTTATAAAATTCTGTCACCATGTTCGACACAATTACATGGGATTCTCATTTGAAGTAATTTAAAACCTCAATCTTAGCGTCATTTTCTTACTAGTTTGCAAATGACTTTCATAACATTTGGAATATAATATAAAAATAAAATATAGCATTGGTGATTTGGAAAGATCATTGGCCAAGTCAAATTACATGATTAAACAAAGAATGCTTTACATGATTCAGGCAGCAACAATCAACCATAAATGACAAACAAACAGTATAAGCTATAATATGCAAATAAGAGAATAAAATGATTCCATCATGCAACATGTTTCCTATCATTCATTATCCTCAGTCATTTTTAGTTTTAACCTGCATCTTAGCATCTTACACCACATATTTCTCTCTCTCTCTCATTTCCCCACTATCAAAGGTATTCTTTCTAGCACTAAAGGCAGCCATCTGTTATGGCAATAAAATTAAAATTTGACATTTGATCGACTAACTTTACTGCTATTGAAGCAATCACAATTTTAGAGCAACAAAAGTTCCCACATTTTTGCATGCAAAGTATCTTGTAAATATATCAAATGAACTCAAAATTACATCATGGTGGAAAGTCAAATATAAATAAAGCAATTGATCATCTCAGTGGAAACATCAGTCACCTGAACCATCAAATAAAACCGATGAGCACTGCTTGAAAGCTTGGGTTGGACACCCAGAACCACTGTAGATGTTCTATTTGATGTACGTGCACCTGTAGGTGGATAACTAAGTAACCAATCATCTGCAGCTGCCAAGGCAGCAGTGCTCTCTTCAATTCTTCTTAAATTAGCATCTAGTGCTTGCTCAACACTAGGCCTAAATAGTTTCAGAAGAACAGAAGACAGTGACAACCTCCAACAAGCTTCGAGCAGAGAACAATATCCAATGGCTATTTGAACACACTCCACAGCAGCTCTTAAACCTCCAGCTGCAGCTGATGAGGCTAGTGCATACCTCTTTACAAGATGCGCGAAGGCTTCTGCTTGCATTGTAGACCAAATAACCAGTTCCGATGCATATTCATCCCCAAAGACAGCTTGAGAGTCATTTAAAGCTTGAGCAATGGCAGAAAAGACTTGCTGTGACAGTGCAGCAGTATATGCTCCTCCATAAGAAGTATTAGTAGGATGAATAACTTGCATGTTGTACTGAAGCCTCTGATCATGAGCGCTAAGTAGCAAAGTGTGAGCACGTGGACCATCACCAAGCCTTTTGAGAGCTGCAGCGGCCGCACGAAGTTCGACGCCACGAGTAGAAGATTGGCAAGCAGCTTCAGCAAGTTGATCAGCAAACTTCTGACGATGGTCTGATATAGCATTCTGTAATGATGAGAGATCAGCAGTGCCGAGAGTTTGTTTTTGTTTTGCATCTGCAGCTAAACGTTCTGCTTCATCCAGGGCATCTAATGCTTCATCGACTCTCCTTTCAGCTAGTAGAACTTCCAGCATATCAGGAAACTCCTCTACCCATTTCTCAAGTTCTGAAGGCTCTCGATCTTCCACATTTGATATGTCATTCTCTGTGCTACCTTCAGAACCAGCAGATAGGGAATCAATGTTAACTCCTTCAGCTAGTCCACGAATTAAACCTGTCTGAGCACCTAGAAGATTCTTGATTGACAAAAGCTCGCCTTCTAAGTCCGATATTTCCTTTGATGTTCTATATTTGGCATCATAAAATGCACAAGTTCTCGTCAATTCTTGAAACTTACTAGCATGATGCAATCAAGCAAAGTATACATCAAATACAAATTATTATCACCAACACAAATGATAAAAGCACATAGATCAGAGACCTTAATTAGGCTTTGTTACTTCCATCATTACAGTTCCAAAAGGCTCAAAAAGCTCAACCTAACTATAAACCTTGTTAGACATGCTTGAGATCCTAAGTGCAAGACAAGAAATAGAAATATACGTAATACCTAGAAGAAAAGTTAACAAGTTTGCTAATGTCTCATTAAAGATGCCTGAATGTTGAAATAACCACCTTAAAAGTTCTTCAATTTATCCTCAATTATACCTAACTTTTCACTAATGTGATCTATTTTTATTGTTTTTTGGCATCATTGAGGTTTGTTTAATTGCTGGGCAGAAGGATTTTTCACCAAAAAAATATCAGAAAGTCATTACAAACTATTTACATTGTAATAAAGAGAAGAAATTTATATCCTTTACTCAGTTCTTCTATTCAAATTGCAAGGTAAAGGGCAACCTATGCTCTATATGTGATAGTATTTTTCAAAAGCCAAAGACACAGGATTTGGAGATTTTTTATTTTTTCTAGAGAAAAATATAGAACAAAAAAGTAGATCTGGAAGAGTTGTGCATATCTTTTAGTCTTCCTGTTAAACAAGCATCTCAAATAAGATTTATTTTCTCTGGGGAAACAATTTTTCATAGAATTATCCATGCAACCAAACACACACTAAACACCAACAACATCCTCATCTCCATTACACCAACTAATTCAAAATGGTATTTTTCACAATGTGTCATTTTAATCCAATGTTTTAAATCCTGATCTGATACTGGTTTAAATAATCTATCAGACCAGTACAATACCAATGGTGGCATATTAACTTTTACTGCCAAGTATCACTGAATAAACAGCAAAGAAAAATGAACAGTAATGAATCATTATTGACTTATATGCTTCAACGGCACTTTGGTTGGCCTGGTAAATACTGGCTGGTACATAATGGTCCAACCTGACTTTTAATCCTTGTTTTAAACCATAAAACATGGTTAGCCTTATAAGCACCATGTATAATTTTCCTTTAATCAAAAAATTACTAAGCATAGACAAAATGCTTCCATGTTTTGTTGTAACCAAACTGCTTAGTAAAATGAATCTAATTGTTCAAATTTATGATATACTGATAACATATTGAATGTTGATCTCCTACTGGTTCATATATCCAGGACAGTAGAAGATTTTACTTCTAGACTCTTCATGATTATTTGTTTAAACTATAGTATCGTAACTGATTTATTATGTTACTTCAGACGTTCAACACTAGTCATCCCAAATCTCAAATCCTTGTCTAATCAGTACTTCAATAAATCAATAGAGATCATGAAATCTATTGCAAACACAAACATAACCAACAAAAGCATCAATCTGAAAACTCTACCCAATATGGTCCGATAAATGGCCTATTGCATCCTAATCCAGATCAGATGAAGTAATTGAGTTCGTCCAGGCAGGCTCCCAAAAACTTCAATAGGGTACACCAATCTAGGGTTCATGGATCTGCCACAACCAAAAAGTCATCCAAATCACCCAATTGGACTGAAATACCAATTGAATCATAGTCATCTAAGCCCCGAGAGAAAATCCCAAAATATTGTACAAAACCATACCCGTCCATTGAGAAATAGACTCTTTGCAGGCTTGAGAACGACTCAAGCTAGTCATTCACCCAAAATGAAGGGGAGCATAGTAACTTTTGTCTCTCCATATTGAAAAATCATACACAGTTGAGAGGGGCCTCCTGAGACATCTGCTTCCAGCAGCAAAACAATCTATAGATATAAAACACAAACTATGTTTAAACATGTGATACCTTTCTAATGACAATATCAGGGATTCCCTTCATGTAACAAACCCCAGACAGTCCAGAAATGGTCCAGGACATACAGTTGGCATGGTGCAGCACATCACCATACAGACAGAAGAACAACAAAGAAGGAAAAAAGAGAGAAAGGACATAAACAAAGAGAAAGTAGGTTAAAAAGCCATAGAAACATCGTTTGTAACTGATCCTCATCTTAATGAATGGCAAATGCTTGAACAGTTGGACCTGGAGAGTGGGTAATTGAATGGCAACCTCATCTTGAAGGCTAGAACAGTCAGTCTTCTCTCAAGAGCCTTATCTTGTCCCCTAGAAATTTAACTAAAGGCCGAAATGGCCAAGTAGCTAAGCCAGAAGCTTCAATCAGCCAACCCAATGAGTTGATGAACCCTAAACCACAGAGGATAAGGTAATTTTCCTAGCAACCATGACCAGTAACTAATCCAGACCCAATCTAGTTGCAGATTGGTATATGCCATGAGGTACTGCCAGTGGATGAGAAAGTATTCCTTGGTGCATATTTTCCAGTACTCATTTTATCATCATTCATTGGGTGAAACCAAGTACAAGACTCAGTTGACTTTTGGCACTTCTTAACCTAGATTACTTATGTTTCATAATTTTCAGAATTTTTTTTTTACTTCCGTTGTTTTATCTTTAAAAATTTTCTCCCTTTGAAATCTTTTGATAGTTAAAACATATTTTAATGAAACCTAATCTGCCAATTTCATCAAACTGATTCTATTCCAAAACTCCAAAGCAAAATTGAAAACCAGTCCTAACCTTTAAACCTTGGAACTAGACATATTGAAAAAAAAATTCTTAAGTAATAATCTCGAAAAAAACTGTTCAATAAATTTTCACAATAGAAGCAGGATCAGCTCATATTTGGACTTCCAGTGGATAAACAGGTTCAAATATGTAAGTTTTGTTACATAACATCCCCACTAGGTCTCATTGTACTTTTGTGATAGTCAAGAAGCTTTGCAAAAGAAGAGCCAAATGCATCTTATTAATGTTCCTTCTCCACAATACCCTTAACTTTCAAAATAAGCACACACCAGGAACAAATTCTAATCAGAAATAAGAGGAGAACAAAAGATTTAAACCAAAATTTCAAACTTCATTTGCACAAGAAGAAAGCACTTTACATTACAAGTCACCAAGCAAAAAAAAAAAAGTAGATCAATCAATAATGAAACTCGAGTCCTGAAACTATAAAAGATAGTTGGCCTTGCAAAACGACTAGCAATTCCAGTTGAAAGATTCCATGAAAAACAGTACAGAACTAAAGATCTATTTGCTGACCTTATGAATGCTGCATAATTAGCATAAACACTCTTGCGCATTTCTTCTGCAGAAGCTTTTTTTAAATCTTGCAAATAATTGCATAAGTGCCTTATTTCCTGTAAGAGTAATGAGAAGAATAGGAACTAATATTTTAGCATCTACTTTGAAAAGCTTATAGTACATTCTTTCACCTAAAACTGAATTCATTAATAGTTTGAAGGGAAAAAATATAACCGCGAAGTTATCACAAGAATCAATAAAAGAAATTAGGGACCAAAAAAAAGGGACTGGAAACTAGAGAAGGTCAAAAAGAAAGAGAGGGGGGAAGGTCCAAAGGCCAGAGCTCGTAAGCCATTGAATACTTCTTGTTGTACTACAATCATAACAAAAATAAATGACCACACTTTAAATAGTTGTTTCCCATTGCAGAATTATATAAAGATCATGACAAAAGCATATCTATCTTGTATATAGAAGACAACAGAATCAGAAGGTGAACATCAAATACTGCCTAAAAGGTATCCCTAGCATTGTATGTCTCAGATAGAAAATACCAATCTGATGTCTAAGATCTGTATCTTGGAGCTCCATGCTAAAATGTAAGATGATTATAATAAATATGCAAGGTGAATTACTGTCTGTTGTTTCTCCTGCAACCATTCTTTTACTTGCTGTTAGCTGAGGTACCTCATTGGACATTCTTATAACCTCATCAATGAAGGTTGTTTATATAAGCTGCAGCGGACTTTTTCATCAAACCAACCCATGCGCATGACTTGTCAGTCATAAGTTAACCATTTTGGGTTGTGTCCTTTAGAAAAGGCCAAATCGCAACTGAGTATTTAAGGACCTGGGGCTTTTCATCTCTCTCTCGTAATCTCGTTTACTATGCCTTTCAGTGGCATTCTTTTGGTTGTCAATTTGTTGGCACCTTTTTGATTCACCATGCCTTCCAGAGGCCCATGTTGGGCCAGCTATTGCTGGCACTTGGATCCTTGGTAATATGTTCACATCAGAGAACATATTGCCAAAGTTGCAATGAAGAAGTCAAATCAGTTAAAATAGATAAATGACCTTATATCCACTAGACCTTTGCAGACAAATTGCCAAACATTCAATAAAATATTTCAGTTTACAGATCAAAATGTTTCAGTCTCAATGGAAGGTTTCTACCATGATTCAACTTATCATGTGGCACATATTTTAAGAGACAGAAAAATTACACTAGATTGTAAGAATCAAGAAGGATACAACACTTTCAAGCAGAATATGAAAAAAAATAGGATGGATATTCTTATGAGACAGAATAAACATGTATGCTGCACTGTTTTTAAATCGTTTCAATTTGGTACCTGCGACCACACAGTTTAACATGTCTGATTATATGGTGTGCATGTAGATATATGATTTGGTTCCAGAAGCTTAAGCTAAGATCTAAAAGAAAAAAATTTGACTGTTTCAGAATATAAAAAATATTGAACAAATATAATTTACAAATCTTTTTTTGTTCTAGTTCTTACAGCCCAGAGATCTTCTATTCTTCTGTGCATGAGAATAATTAGGAGGCCAACATATAAGGAGAAAATCGTCTCGAAGAAAATGAAAATAGATGTCATTACTGGGTAGCATGAGCTACATGCAACTGTTGACCTAAGAAAATGTGCTTCAAGTAAAATCCCAGCCTCAAACTTCAAAATTTGAAGCCCCAAGCTCAAACAACATAATAAGCTCATAAAAACACAAAAAAAATATAGGAATGTGTGGTAAATCAATAAAAAATGAATGAGAAAGGTGTATTATATAATTATAGAAAATAATATAGATTATATAAAGCTAATTACCACACAAACAAAGGAGATCAAAGGGAGGCTACCTTGCTTAAGAGAAAAATGGTGTAAAGTTGATTAGAAAAAGAATCAGAATAGCAATAGTAAGAAAAATCAACACTATAAGATATTTACTTTTGACTTCATTTTAGTTGATAATAGCTGATAAGACTACAAAACCATGCTGTTAGAACTGCAAAAATAAACTTTGGAAGCAAAGAGTTTCAGAATAAATAGGACCAAGAGCAAACAAGAAGAGTGAAGATTAAGACAACAAATGAACATATAATAAAAAATAAGTGGCGAAAAAATGCCATAAAATACATTTTTTTCATACATTGGATCTATGAGAGATAAGGTTCACAAGTTTAGAGTGACCATAAAATGAAGAGATGTACAATGGGACAACCTTAGTCTTCTAAAATGAATACAAGACCAATATATATCATGGATCACATGTTGGGCAGCTGGTAACAAATTGAAAATTTCAGTTTAGCTCAAAAAGAATCTTGGAAATTATAACTTAAAGTCATTGGAAGGACAGAATAAAAAATGATCACATTCATGAGGGGTCAAATAAAATTTCAGCTCAAGATAAATGAGTTAAAGCCATTGAAGGTGGTATAGGCATGTCGAAAGAAGAGTGAGTTAGCAAGAAGAATTCTCACCGACTAAAAGATGCAGCTGAGGGACAAAAAGGAACTACAAAAACATCTTCAACAGCCAAAGATCGATGGTGAATAAAGAATTCTCACTGAAGCAAAAGAGTAATAAAGTATAAGTTGCGAAAGGAAAGCACAGCAAAGTCATTCAACCAATGACCTAAATTTTTAACAGCCATTCAATTCAAAATCGTGGCACCCCAATGATCCATGTAGTCAATCAAATAAAACCTAGTGAAAGCAGAAGAGACTCCAATAAGCAACACAAAGGGAAAGATCGGACCTTTTCGTTCATGGTCTGGCACTTGGACTGCACGTAGGCATCGGGATCGAAGTTATCAGTCTTGAAGATCTTCAGCTTGTCGGCGAGCTGAACGCCGGCCTCCTGCTCGCCCCCACCCACGGTCGCCTGGTGCGCCCCGGAGGGGGCGGAAGCCCTAGATCGGGACGACTTCGCCGAAGCCATCCCCGGATCCCCGATCTACCTCAAACAAATCCCAAATCCGATCTACCCTCCTCCTCCTACTCTTCTCCGGAAGCGAATCCACTAAAGCGAAAAGACGGATCCACCTAAGAGAACCGCGATTCGGAGGGGAAAGGAGGCTTTTGGGGATAGCTGCAACGAAGCCCTCAATCGAAGGCTTCTCTTCTCTTCTCTTCTGTTCTTCTGTTCTCTTTCTTTGGGGTGATTGGGGTGATGACCTACGAGATATAATTACGGAAGCAGATTAGGAAACCCACCGACCTAATTGACATTAAAATGACTCGAGTTGTATGCCGCGATATCTTCTCCCGTCCTGTTTGCTCCACGGGATCACAGGGAGAGAGGAATTATGAGGGGTAAACTGGTAAATAGACCCGTTGGCCGCCGAGTGGGACGACGTCAGGAGGTGGGGGGGCGGGACCTGCCGTTGAAATCCCCAAGTACTTTGAGCTCATCCATGACTAAATTTTAGTATTTATACTTTTCAATTAAAATGATTTTTTTTTTGTTTTGTTCTCAAACCTGATTTAGTCAGTACTTATCTCTTCATATGTGTTCCACAATCCTACTTTACTACTTAAGGACGCATTCATATTCCAAATCGGATTCAAACGAGTTCTAATCTGTGTCTAACGTGTTAAATAATTTGTATACTAAAAACTTCAGATTTTCTTTTTTTTTCTCTTTTAATTTTTCTCTGTTTCACTATCCGAGTGGACGTAAATAATGAACATATAAATGCATCATGATGACGATGATGATTTCATGGATGAGGAATCCTGGAATGCAGACGACAAAAACGTTCGTAGTAAATCATGATGTGTGGTGGTATTTGTGGCGTGGCATTGGCGTTTAGTTGAACAGCCATGAGACTAATGTTTCCTTCTTAATCAATCAGATAATCCTTTTTTATATTTATTTCCAAGCGTTCCTCCTCACTCGACTATGAATTATTCTTGAATTGATTTATTTCTACTACTTATAAGATTTTTTTTTTTTTAATCCTAATAGTTGAGATTGTCTTCTTTTCGCTTTTAGCTTCTTCATGTTGCATGCCGGGTGACAATAAATATCGTCCATCATGCTAGCTTAAGCTTTCATCAGTTGGAATGACAGCAATATATGATTTAAAAACATTTAGTAAATGTTGGATAAATTTTACAGTCAAAATTAATTATAATTTTATTTGGATAATTGAAAAACCTTGGTGATGGCTGCCACCGAACCCACGGCTTCAACTTGCCCTCGTAGGCGTTCATTTATTCCCTCTTTCTATGAGCACACGATATTCTATTAAAGACATTGAAAAGATTTCATCATTTAGAATCTTGATGGACATGTACCACCATAACAAGAAAGCGAGCAGTGATTATTGGTTTTGCGGAGATGGAGGTGAGAGGTTGGTCTTCTAATCTGTGCACCACAACCTACCTTGCTTTTAGCTTTTGGTAATCCGATCACTGACCGTGAAGCCTCAGCAGGACCAGATCTACTGAAAACATAAGTACAGAAGAGCAATTTCCAGAGTATGATATGCTACCCACCAAAGAAGCACCTTTTTCACCTGATGGTATTATATAATACCTGGATTTAACTGTATATTGCGATAATGAAGCTATAAGGATTTATGACACTTTTTTTTTCCCGCAGCAACTGAAATCAATCCGCTTTGCCTAGGGGGCAATTCCGGAATGAGGAAAGAAAACAACGTACTATATATTTAATCAAACAACGGAAGGCCACAAGTACATGAATCGAAGGCCATTAATAATAAATAATGCCTTGTTAATATAAAGTGCAGTGTCCAGTGATACCAAAATTATGACAGAAAGGATTTCTGGTCCCTCACCAATTGATTCAGATTGACCCAGTTATTCCTGCACCGCACCCCACCCCACCCCACCCCACCTTCTCGAAGAAATATTGTCCATAACACAGAAACAACAGATATCTACTAATTAATTAATGGATCCAAAATAAAATGATAGATTTGTTAAGACTGGTAGGCTCACTGCCAACATTATTAACTAATAGCATTTCTTCAGTGCCTGTGTGGCTTCTAATATACTACCAAAAGTTGGTGTAAAAAAAAATTTGACCACAGTCCACATGGCCTTGACCGATCTAATGGAGAAGATACCTCTTAAACCACTCGAGCATACTGTGGTCTCAGAACTGTCATTCAAACTCAACCCACTTTGTAACAGAGCAAGAAGAAGGTTCACAGTCATGCAGAGGGAACACTTGGGTATATTCTCTACCAGATTAAGAATATATCAAGCTGCATAAGAATTTTAAAGAAAACAGAACCATATTTTGCACAATTTTCTATCATGCGATGGCACAATGATACATGTAAAATGAGAAACCATAATGGCTATCATAAAAGAGCACAAGGAACACTATATACCTCCTTTGAGAATGTTACCATGTGAAATCTCTATCTACCAAAGTCTCATCTCTTTTCTTCATACAACATGAACAAGGACAAGGCTGGAAGACCTAATAAGCAGAAAGAAAAAAGAGAAAATGACCACTTAAACAAGAGAAAACCTGCAAAACTATAGAGTACCAGAAATATTTTGTAAGGAAAAAACAATCGTATTTCCCAAGCAAGTACAAGGGTCAGCAGGTGCTACAGCATGACCATGACTACATATGTTTGATGTTCTGAAGATGTAACATCTCAGAATCACTTTGAAATAGTTACAGTAAAAAGAATGACAGAAAATGTTATAAATTAATTACAAAGAAGCTTAAGGAAGAATGATAAACAAATAACTATTGGACAACATGTTGTATGTCATCCCCAGGAGACTAAGAATAAAGCATTTCTAGACATCATCAACCACTGACAGGTGGGCTAACAAATAAACACGAGTACGAATAAGCTGAAACAATAGAAGCAACAATATAACACAAGGAAAAGGGAAGAACTTATCAACTACAGATAGTCAGAATCCGTATCTGACAAGTACTTATCACCGACAGATCAAGATAACAGAAAATTTTCTTCCTAAACAATATTTGAACATTTTCATTAAGACTATTATGCAGGCATCCCTCTCTATATCTCTATGACCAATGTCTTTATGCCTTTTTGAAAATGTGCCAAGGCATGACATTTGTTACACAGAGTCTATCACTTCAAGGGAGTTGTAATGCATGTCTTCCTAATCCTTTGAATTTCCAGCAACAATATCCAATACAGTTTCATTTCCTAATTCATCAAGAAACATATTCCCCAAACAATGGGTGATCTCATTCATACTTGGACTGTTAGAACATTGATAAGTGGTATTTTAGATTTTTAAGCTCCTTTTCCAACCCCTTTTGCCAAAAGAAAGGATTTGATTGGGGTAAGTATGAATTGTAACTTTGAAAGACAACGCATGTTTAAATTAAGTAGCAACTATTGTACATGCAAAAGCCAAATGCTACAAGTGAAAGGAACGACAAATGTCTAGTCAAAATGAAGCATAAGAGTAGACCAAAAGAAAAATACGTTTGCACTTACTGCTAGTCTCAACGTCTGGTTCTATGCTTGCAACGAAATTGTGCTAGAAGTGCTATGTGATCAGAAGACCATTGTGGAGAAGGTATGGCAGTATCTTTACGTAAGCTTTCCTCATCCAAGAGCTCCAACAGAGACTCCACCATCAAAGAGTCCGCTATAAGCACCCAAAATCATATAAGAGAAGAGAACATTCTTGAACACCAAAAGGTAAGCAGTAATAAGAGTTTCTCTTCTTTTGTTTTTTTTGAGGAAACAAAAAACTTACCCAAAAAAATGAAGAGAACAGAAAAGGTCATACCTGTATAAAATATGTAGTCAACAGTGCCAACAAAATCCCTAGTACAATTCGTGAATAGAGGTTCATTAGTTGCAGGATCCATTCTCCTCCTCTGTTGCTCTACACCAGGAGCAACTCCTCCCATTCTTGCAAAAGATGAGTATGCACTAACCTGTAAGATATGCATACTTGTTAACAACAGAAAAGATTTTGTTCTCAGTGACTGCAAGTACAAAATGTATATTACCAGTGGAAGCTGGTGAGATAACTTGTTTGTAAGACGAAGGATTCCAAAAGGGTCTACAGCCAAGTCTGGATGCAAAGGATCGACCTTGCCCCTTGCAAGAAGTGAATGAGGAGCACTACATTTATGACACTCATTCAGGTATTGTGCTTTGCATCTTAAAAACATAGAACAAGTTACCCGGAAAAAGATATAAAATTAATACCTTCCAGGAACCGTATTGAAATCTCCACAGACCAACATTGGAATGTCTGCACTGATGGCAATTTTTTCCAGACCTTTGAGAAGGGTATGCACCTGAGGTGATAAAACCAACAAAAAATGTACAACATGATTCAGAAGCAAAAAAAGATTGTCATAATACTGTCATAACCACAAAAAACTAGCGTAAACCTGCCATAGCTTAACATCCATGTACTCGTGATGGACATTTACATGAGTGTTTGCCTGCATTTGATAGACAATAGAATTAAAAACTGTAAAAAGATGAGCAAGGAATACACAAAGATCTAACATTTATATGCAGAATAATTGAAGAACATGTAGATAAGTATATGAATCAAAACAAAAGCAAGTGAACCTAATAAGGATTCAGGATAAGATAGGCAGTTCTCTAAATGTCAGGCACAACTTTGCACAAATTTCTTCATGAAAATATGCAGAGTATTCCAATTTTAAGAAAACGATAGAAGCTTCCTGCAAGGCAAATGACAAAACATATGGTAAACTCTACAGATGTTCTTATTAATATCAAGCAAATGAACTATATAGATCACAACTCAAATTGTGGGACAATTGTTTTTCTTTTCGTTAGGCACCAAAGACCTATAGCCATGAAGCTTGGATCTGTCTTCAAAAATAATATATCATAATCAAAGGCATTATTAGGTTGCACAAAAAAGCAATCGAAAAGGATAACCTGGGGAAAATCAACAATTCCTCATGACGCATTCACAAGGGCTAAATCAGGATAAATTTTAATGTTCATTTTCACCAATGATAATTAATTCTTGCTCATCAAGGCTAAAATTATATTTAAAAGATTTACAGATCACATTCTCTATATGGATGATACCATAGCCAAAAGCAAGTATTCTGGAATAGTCATCAGTGTACCTCATACCCCTGAGTCATAGATACCCCTCCGGCATGATGAAGCATATACACACACGAGAGATTTTTTGTTCAGAAAGTGTAACTTAGAAACAGGTAAACAAAAAACAGAATACTCACCACACAAAGAAGCCGTCTTTTCCCTGGATTATCAGCGCCATGGTTACCGAATTTTGATTCCAAAACCACAATAAGAGCAATATTATCCTACAGATAGGAAAACATTTCTATATAAAAGACGGGAAAAGAACAAACCATGCTCAAAAGTCTTAGGTGATATGTATAGCTCAGACCTTGATTAACCGAGTCAAAGCAGCTTTTTGCTGACCAGCTGCTATTCCTTGATCTGTCAACGACTGTGCAGCTTTATTAAATTCAACCTGCAGGACTAAACCATATCAATCTGCTGGATCTTATCAACTATAACTAATTGCAAGGTGTGCTACCTCATATTTTTTTACTTGAGAAAACCTGTCCCTACGAAAAAATGTAGCACAACCATCAACCGAATTTGGATTTCCACTATAAACCTGAAAGGTGGCAAATTATTTATTATTATATAGGAACATTGTGAGATTTAGAGAAGCAGTTGACAACGTGCAAGTTAACCTCTGATGTTCTTCTCTTAAAAAGTGCTTGATATCCATGCTTATCAAGTTCTGGAGCAAAAAACTCCTCAAAGTGTTCATTTTGAACCTACAAAAATCGTGACAATTCAATTTTCAGCACAAAAATATGCCAACAACCTAAATAAATAAAAAAACTGAAGGATCATTAAATTTTTCATATTACTGATGTTCAAACAAAATTTTGTGTAGAAAGGACAAGAAATTACATGATGATAAAAGAATTTTCAATATATTCAGTCATAGAATTTTGACTAAATTTATGAAAAACTTTATTATGAGAAGACAGGAGAAAGTAAGAAAACTAATAAGATCAAATACTTTGAGTAGGATGACTTTTGTGTTGATAGGGAATGATAAAACATTGCCAATACATATGACTCAGGACACAAGAATACAAGAAAACCAGGAGCAGTTTGCAAAGGCTAGAACTAATTTACTTGCAACACAAACTCAAGGAGACATACCTCTTGAAGACAAAGGATATCAGCATGGTAGCCAATAATTTCACGCAACAAATTCTGCCTGCGATAAGACCATGAGAGGGCCCAAGATGGGCAGTAGCTATATGTCTCACTCGTAGCATATGCATCAGAGAGAATGTTGTATGAAAGCACTGAGAAGGTCCTAGAAGATGCGCTTCGACTATCTACATCCAACTGCCCCAAAACATCAGCTCCATTTACTTGAATCATGCGACGAGGTGTTGGAGAGGGGGCTGGAATCACACGTGAAGTCAAGATGGTATGTACATTTCCCACAGGTATCCTTGTCTCTGCATATACGACCACACACTCGAACTTAAGAACATGATTAATATCATCAGATGTTGGTGTGTATGTTCTAGAACGTCCAACTTCAGACCAAGCTTCACCATTCCTTTCTGCAACAGTTGTAGAATATATAGGTACTGGACCATTATTAAGGACTGAGCTTCCCACATTAATTGTTGCACCAGAAAGGCCAGCATTATGACTTCCAGACCCACTATTGTTAAAGCGCCCGAACGCTTCTTCCTCCTCAATTCCATTTTCCTTTATAGTTCTCTTCGCTTGTTCGTGTAAAGAACGATGATGCTGCCAAGCATCAGTAAAACACTTAGGAGAGCAATGATAACTCTTTGCAATAGGTACTTTCTCCTTGACACAAACTATGCACTGCAGTGTTGCTTGCTCAGTTGGATGTACACTGCATACAGAAACTTTTTGATCACTTTGATCACGATACCTGCAGAACACGAAAAATGTTATATAGAACAAACTACAATGTTGTGCCACAAACAGCTCTACTAAACCAAGTAACAAAAACTAGTCAAGACTATGGCATCAACTTGTATGCTGCCACAGAAATAAAAACTGAGCAATTTGTTTTTACCACCAGTAACTTCAAATTACAGTTCCATCATTGCTAATATATATACTACCGCATAAAGAGATAACCCGGGCATGCAAACCACAATGTCTCCAAATGAAACCCAAATTACAAATCTCTAAACAGACTTCGATTGCATACCATTAGAAGTAGGACAACAATCATTGAACCTTTTATTTCTCATGTCTCACATGTAAAACATGTGCAGTCACTAGTTAGAAATAGTGCCAAATCAGTTCTGGATGTCAAAAGAAGGCTTAAGCTAGAGTTAGACTGAGGCTTCAATAGAATGAAAGCACTTTAAGTTCAAAGCAGTATTGTGAATGAAAGAAAGACACTGAAGAAATCAGTCCTTTAGGAACTATACTTTACTTCTAAAAATAACATATAGTACAGCATATTGTAACCCTGATCCTAAGAGACAATGAATGCTGGCTTTCCTCCATTCATGAAATGAAAACCCAAACATCCATTACCATTATGCAAACAACATCATCTTACGAATATATTAAGTTCATGCTCATGTTCATTTCCATGTAGGTCAAACCACATAACAAAATAGGAGAAATACCATGGTTTCTGATTAAAAGTCTATAGGTTAACAATTGATAGCATCCGTAGAAATAATTCTTCAATATATATAAATGAAACGAAATATGATAACCGTCTGCCCACATGCTGGTCTAAAGCAATGTATTTAAAGACAGCTTGAGATGCTACCTCTTATGTCTAATGCAAGTGTAATTAAATCAAGAAAAAGGACAGAGAACTATCAAGAATTCACCAACAGACAATGAAATTACCAGAAAGGGGAGCAGAAAAAGAACTCACCACTTATATCTAATGCAATATCCATTGAATGGAGCAGACTCGGGAACATCATCAGTTGAGACGCTACCATCCGGTCGCCGCAAAAGAACGTACGGCGTAATCTCACAGCCTACCACGGGGATCTCCGACGGCAGATGAACCCTCAAGACACTCAACATACTTCCTAAAATCCCTAGTATCCCACTCCCGATTGAAAACCCTAACCCAATCACCAAAACCTCCTCTCCCACCTCAAGACTCCCATTCTAAGAATCGAGCACATCTTCCAGATCTGCCATCAAGGGGCCCTGGATCGCTCCATGGTCGACCAATCCAACAAGAACCCTCGCGATCGAAAACGGCGCCAATGCGCGAACGTGAGACCCAAAGGCTCGCGTAACGGTAAACCCTAGAGCGAGATCAACCTCGGCGGGGAAAAGCAAGAACGTTTCCGGGTCGATCGATCCGATTTCGGCGTGAACGGGGGAGGGGGAAAAGGAATCGAAGGAAGGCTAGGGGTTTAAACCGGGTGAGACGGGAAGCCGGAGCAGTAGCTGCGAAAGCACAGCGATCGCTCTCTGCCTCTTCTACTCTCTCCTCTTTCTCCTCTTTTGTGGTCGTCTTGTTGCTGCTCCCTTCCATTCTAAATAAGAAAATTGTTTTTTTATTATTAATTACATTATGATTATTTTTTGTTATGATTGATATTATCGTTATCATATTATTATTGTCATTATTATTATATATTATTCATCATTATTGATAATTATTAATATTAATTATTAATGGTCCTCACAACTCAATTTTATCTTTTGTTGTGGGGATTGAGAATTAGGGAGAGAGGACATGGCTTGGGGTAAGGATGGGGTCCACAAGGGAAGGAGGCTTAAGTGGTGGGGAAGGTTGGGGATGGGCGTGGAGCCCACAAAGGTCTTACACATGGAGATGTGTAGTGAGTTAAGTTGCGCTTGGTTTCCCCACCCCTTCCCCCTTTCTTTTTTTTGCTTTTGATAAAATTGCATGTGTATATCCTCTAAAATGATTTTGGCATTTGTCTCTATAAATTTGAGTATATATATTAATTATTATAGATTAGCTTTTAGTTGAAACTCTAGTAATTTACATCAATACCCTCTGGAAAATACTTATATGATACTAAAAATACTACAAGTACTTTATGTATTCAATATTTTTATTTCTTTTTACAATTGGAACAAACTATATATATATATATATATATATATATATATATATATATGACCTCCACATTTGACCCTATAATTATTGTGAAAAGGTATACAATAATAATGAAAATTTATAGTTCCCATTTTATTAAATGTAAAATTAATTTTTTTTTATTAAGGCTAAGAGAAAAATCTGAAAGAACAAAATTTACATCGCTTGTCAATCACTCTCTGATCGATTCCTTCAACGTATGTTGGCATAGTATGATCCTCTTTAATTAATATGGGGGAATTCCACTAACAAAATGTTTAGTTATTGTATAAAACCTAATTATTGTTTCATTAAACATTAAATTGTTAGTCATTAGGAGAACCAATTCTCATCCACATCTCAGCACTCACTCTCTAGTCGACCCATTAGAACATGATGATGATCCTTCAAAACAACCAATTTATATTGGGAAGTCTACCACTTAAACCATCAAAAAGAAACTTAATGTGAGTATATATACAAGGTGAATTTTCTCTTTCCATAGAAAAAGTTAAGCTTTATTCATAAGATGAAAAGCATGCTAAAACATCATTCCATGAATTAAAAATCTCAACTTTGTTGGGTTCAACCTATTACATTTATTATTCTTTACAAATCTAGCTAATCAGTCTGTAACATGAGAAATATAAAATCTCATAAATATATTGAATGATAATTCAATATAAGAGCAAACACAATGTGAATTTTCTAAATTTTCTTGTTCCTACTTCTTTTCCTTGTCATTCCATTTTGATTTATTTTCTTGGTTAGTTTCTAGAATCAATAATTTAGCAATTATAGCAATATTCGTGTTCCAATGTTTTATAATAAAAGCTACACCATCCCAACTGTGAGTAGACATATGATTTGATGGCATGGGTCTCATATATTTATTACACGCATGATGAGTATAATTAGTTTTCATCGATATTGTTTATGACAAATATATTTCATGCATCATTTGTTGTACTCATTAACCTCTATGGCACTTGAGGCCTTTAATTTTCTAAGATTTTAGAGAGATTCTTCCGTTTTTATGACATGCACACTAAAATTCGTATCATGTGAGACCCATTTATTGCATTCATTTACTCATCTTATTTATGGTGAAGATATTTTATACATTATCTTTATCCCCTGTTGGTCAATCATAATGTGATTTATTAATTTAGGTAAGAAATTCTAAATATTAGACATTCGATGATTAAAATTATTTATCATTGATAATGTTTTTTCATGTGTCAAATAGGCATTTAGCTAATCATAGAGGACGAATGAGTAATGAGTGTTTATATGTCATTGTGAGATTCGAATATCCACCATTTCCATTAAAATATTTTAATGAGCTAGTGCAAGTATCTATAATGGAGATAGTATATATATTATTTGTAGTATCAATTGACCGGTCACAAATAATCACTCAATTTAGCTATCACCAATTTAGGATGGAATATCATGTAATTACATCATTTTTGTGTGAATATTAATATATATTAAAATATATAAAAAGTCTCGAGGAGCTAAAAAATAGGTTATTATTTTTTGTTTTAATGCGAGAATCTATCAAAGATTAAAAAATAATAATGTCAAGGTTTAGATTTTTTTTAGAATTTCAAATGTATTTACAAAAAATATAGGATAAATTTTTTTTAATAGGATATTAGAGGGAATTTCTTGAATATAAACTTAGTATGGAAAGAAATATTTATGAGAGAGTAAGATATAGGTTTATGCTCTGAGATAGAAAGAGAGCAAAATTAACTGGTCATTAAAATAAAAAATAAAAAATAGCATATGATTTGTCACTGGAATCAAAATATTCTAATTTTATTGGATCTCACATTTTAATGACCAAATATTTTTGACATCTTTCTTCATGTATTTCTGGTGTCCCAATATATATTGATTCTCAAACTCTTAAATCAAAATATAGATTTGGGCTAATTAGAATAATTAATATAATTTATTAGCTTAAATGTTTTCTTTGTTCGTATGAGATTTCTTATTTTCTATTAGGTAATCATAATTTATTAACACTATTTTGTACCTATATAATGGTTTACTCTTAATTAATTATGATTTTAATCTTATCTTTGTTTTAATTACTACTCATATTTGATATCAGATAAGATTTCTTCGACTGTACAAGTTGGGGACTATTCCTACGAGAAAATCTTACTGCACAACAAATCTGAGTTCCATGCCCCTTCTCAATTCTTCATCGCGTAGACTTCCCCATGTGTCAAATTGCAGCAAGCTTGTGATCAGCTGTGACTGCCATCCAGCGGAAGCGTGGTGGATCCTCAACCACCGGCTCCTGCGCCCTCGACCAACCCGGCGATCTCTGCTCTCCACCGCCCAAATTTATTACTGCTGATGCTGTGCCAAAATCCATTGCATCACTCGGGTCTTTTCTACTCATATTCCCCTGCTTCGTTGATTTCAGCAGTTTTCCTCTCACCGCCTCAGATCACTACTGATTTCACCGTGATCACATTCTTCACCACCGCTGCCTTCTCTCACCGTAGGCTGTCTCTGCTGCTCGGCGGCCTTCTCTCGTGGCTGCTCTTTGCCATCGCCACCGGCTGATCGATCTCCCTGCTTGCTCTTAATCCCATTGCTGCCCATCACTATCATCACTGCAGCAGCAACAACATCCGGCGATAGTAATCCAAAACTTCTACAAACTAAGAACATGACAGCTTTACGGTGAAGTCGAAGTTCTCAAAGAGCACATCAGCGTCCCCACCTTCCCCAACATTTGCGACAAAAACTATAGATCTCTCATAGATCTATAGCTGCAGCTATCTTCCTCAGATTTGCTACGATCTACTGCGTCTCTTCTTTCTCTCCGATCGCAGGCCGCACCTTTTTTAAACAACTTGGCCACAACTCCTCATTGGATCAGTACACATCCGTACAATGTCTTCATTTCTACATAGAATCGTACCTCCCCACGTACAGGACTTATCTTCAACAATGCTGCCACATTAATCCCTTTTAAGTTATCAAAAGCTAACAACTATGTATCATGGCGAGTACAGTTTTCTAATCTCTTATTTAGATATGACTTATTAGGCTATGTTGACGGTTCTCTCAGTTGTCCACCAACCATGATCAACATTCCCGAAGAACCTAGTCAAGTAACAAATCCAGCTTACAAACTGTGGTTATGTCAAGATCGTCTAATCCTCTAAGTTATTCAAGCATCCGTTGCTGGATTCATCGCTCCATTGATATCATCATGTGCGACTGCTGCAGAAGCATGGTATAAGTTGTAAACAACCTTGGTGAACCGTTCGCATACTCGCAAGCTCAGTCTTCTATCTAGTCTAATGAAAACAAAATAAGAGGGAAGTATTATCGTTGATTATCTACAAAATATCAAAATTATCATCGATGACTTGGCTTTGATAGATCATTCTCTATGTCATGAAGAAGTCATCATTCATACCCTTAATGGCATCGGAGATGAGTACAAGGGATTGGCAGTTGTCATTCAGGCACATGACTCACCAATGTCATTTGAAGAACTCTATGACAAGTTGATTGACTATAAGACGTATTTGAAGCATGAGGACAAATTGTCCGGATCGACTATCACAGCCCAAGTTAGTCATAAATCCAAAAAGAAGAGTAATCAGTACAATATGAACATCACCAAAGGTATGACCAAGATATCTCTTGACCTTGTGGGTCCCAAGCAAACCCCCCTTATCCTCATTATCAAAATAAGTTACTCTGATGGTGGTAGTGAATATAAAGCCCTGATATCCTATCTCTCAGCTTGTGGTATACAACACCTCAAGTCACCTCCGTATACTTCTTAACTAGTTGGCTTTGCCGAACGCAAACATTTGTATATAGTTGAAACTGGCCTCACACTTCTACATCAGGTCTCCATACCTTCAACCTTTTGGACAACAGCCTTTCAAACTGTAGTCGACCTTATTAATCGGATGCTTACGCTAGTCCTACAATACCAATCACCATTTGAAACACTATTTCACAAACCTCCAAACCTACAAAAACTCAAAGTATTTACTTGTCTATGTTATTTATGGTTACGTCTCTATGCCTCCCATAAGATAACATCAAGATCTCAGCCTTGCATCTTTATAGGATACACTCTCTTGAACATAATGTTTTCTGATGCTATAATCCCCACACCCATAAAGTCTTTATATCACGTCACGTTGTTTTTGTTGAGTCACCACTCCAATAAACACTTATCACTGGAGTATACATCTAATCCACTCGGATGAGCCTCCCATGACACCATCCAGTTCCTTCGCTCATGATCCACACTCTACTACTACTCCAGTTCAGCAATTGCCTATTCCCTCTATTACTACTCCACTCATTTCTTCTTTAGTTTCCATGAAGTGATATGTTCCGAAACACAC